TGTTCCTGGAATGATGCCAGTTCTGCGCCATATGCGTGGATATATCCTCACATCACCGACCAGAACCACCAGCAGTGCCAACATGCTGCTTGACCTCCCAAGGCCACTCCTCGCCTCAACCCTGCCAATACAGAAGCGATAGCAACACTTTGAGAGTTCATTGAGGGCTACCTTGCTGACCGCCAGCGTTACCTACACAGCTACAACATGATTCACATCAAATCCTTGAATAGCTTGATTTGTAAGTGAGCAGACAAGGAGCACAACTGGACAGTGATGTATGCCCCTCTCATTGATGCTGGTATCCTTGAGCACAATGAAGGTATCTCTTTCTTTATCCTCTTCCTCACTGTCATCTTCTTCATTATTGTCATTCATCATTGTTGTTTCCCAGTTGTTGTCATCACCTTTGTCTGCATCTTTGTCAATGCTGAAACTTATGTTTGTGTGGTATCTGTGTACAGGTGCCAGATCACTCTTGGATGTCTTTCAACACCTCAGCTTCATCATCACTCCAGAGCACTGAGCTTGCTGGGAGCATGTTGTCAATGCATGGCATAAGCAGGACAACTACAAGCTGACCGTTCAGGCAAAGCTACAATGAAAGAAGCTGAAGTGGCTGGCTATTGCAGAAACAGGTATGTAGCCACCCCATGAGCACCTGCATGTTTGAGCTCACTCACAGCAAATGTGGTGTGGTACAGGTTGACACCACAATCTTGCAAATGCACAAAGGAAAGTGTTGTACAAGAAAGTTCCTGTCTCTGTGGAATGGGTAATGGAACAAGTGAAGGCTCATCAAGTGCTTGAGTGTACGTTTAGCTGACCCTGTGCCTGGAAGTGTCTGTGCATGTCCACCAGCATGTTCTCACACTGTTGCAGTGACCATTGACCAGCTCAAGGTCTACTTGCAGAAGCACAAGCTCAGGCTGTCAGGTAACAAGGCCTCTCTGCTCCAACAAGTGATTGACCATATGCAGGCCCCCATGGTACGTGCTGTGTATGTCGTGTGGTGTATAGCAGAGCGCCACATACAACCTGCTTATGCTCTGTTCTTGCAGGAAACCAATTGTCATGAGGAACAGCAAGGAGCTAAACAGCCCCAATCCAGTTCCTGTGTTGACACTGCAGCTCCTGTATCCAAACAATGGAAAGGGAAAGAGAAGGTAACATCTGCTGATGAGGGCAGATACAACAAACTGCACTTGCTGCCACTCATATCAGGTGATCCACCCTCATCATCCTCAACTTACATGGCCACCCTCAGCACAGCATTTTTGCCATCAAGCAGACTGTGGGAAGCACTTCTCAACACAGAGCAACTTCCTTCGTCACCACAAGGAAAAACATCCTAGAGTACCAACACCTTCAGCATCAGCCTCCTCATCTCAAGTTCCTCTGACTCCAACACCTTCCTCTTCATCATCATCCTCATCATCCTCAGCATCATCATCTTCCTCCTCATCTATCTCCTGCCCACCTCTCCCGCCACTGGTCCAACATGACAGCTTCAACATGGATGAATTCCTCAACAGCCTCTCACCCATACTCCCTGAGGTGTCACCTCCTCTCCCTCCTCTCAACTTCAATGCCTGCCTTGAACAGATGGCTTCTCACCTCCCCAACAAAGCAAGTGCTGCTGAGGACGAAGCTACTGTGATCATGGAGGAGATCAACATGCTAAAGCAGGTCCTCCAATCCATGCAACTGCCGCCATCGCCACAGAAGCAAAGGATCAAGGCATGGCTTCACGAACTGTATGGCATGTATCATTCTTGTGTGCGGGGCATGTGAGCCCACAACACCAGTGCATAATAAATTTTATTTATTGCAAAACATATTTTTTAATTTTTGAAGGGATTTATTCCGCATTCTTCAAACGCCGATGGCGAGGCAGGCCAGCCACGGTCCTTTATTTTTGGCGATTATCAGAGCGAACTGCTCCCTTAAGGCATTCAAGTTCAAGGTGGATTCATTGGGTCTTCTTCTTGTTCTGTTGGGACCGGAAGAGGAGGCCCTTGACGAAGGCCCACGCCGAGTAGATCTGCGGGATGGACCTGGCCATGCTCTTGATGTTGCCGGTGACGGCGGGCACGTAGGCGATGAAGGTGATGGCCAGGTAGAGCAGGAACGAGAAGCGGAAGAGCAGCGCCCCGCCAGCAGGAAGACCCACCAGATCAGCAACAGCGG